TTGCTCGGATAGAGAAAACCGAACGGGATAGTTCTGAAATTTGTTAGCAGTAGAAGGGAACAAGATAGACAGACCGAGATCACAGGGGGCGACCCCGGTGTAGTGGTTAACATCCATACCTCTCACGCCAAATTCACGAGTTCAAATCTCACCCCCAGATAAGTCACGAATGACCCAAGAGTGTTAAAGTGACTATAATGAAAAAAAAAACTACAAGGGACAGCCCTATCGGGGTTGTACGCAATGATGACGTAGGACTACGTGGTCTTATATAATAAATCTTATTTGTTAACTGCAGCAGGAGCTTGTGTTTTGTGTAGGAATAGGAATTTGAGCGGGATTCTCTCTGTTTATACTCTTTAGTATGACGCGCTTGACATAGATGGCCCACAGAGACTCACGACAAGCTTCTGATTCCGATCAATAGCTCGCTGCTTGCAGGCAGCCTTTCGTTGTGTACTGGAGAACACCACCACTCACCACGTGGTGATTGAATAAACACCGTTTGGAGAGACCAGATGAAATTCAACTTTGAAATCCGTGTTAGAGAAATCGCTTTTCGCAGGCAATCGTGCAATTTTCAATAGTGACATGTTTAAAAATGATGAAATCTTAAATTAAACAGATGCTTAGAAATATTTCTGATCGATTGGTGATACAAATTTTGAAATTGGTCCAGGAGCAGCAGAGTTATTAACGTTCAAAATCTTTCATAATTGTGTTACATGTTCCATTTTTGGTTTTCACAAAGTGTACCCCCATATAGAAATCACAGACGTAGTCCTAAGTCAAAAAAAAAAAAGACCGAGATCGACTGAAGAGGCAAGGAGATACCACTCATCACTTTAATCCTGGCGGTGGTAGAAGAAGGGTGCGATTTATTAGTTTGTTGCGCGGTGTGATTGGTTAGGGCTAAAAAAAACGTAAAGTGTCCTCAGATTAATTTAATCAATTTAATGTTCCCCTATAGGCTAGCAAAGTTAGACAGATTTGTAGTGCGGTAATTGTTGTGCTAGTTTTGTGAAAGCGTTAAACCAGGTAAAACCATTGTGTCGTTTGCACGGTCAACGTCTTTCCTCGTATTAGCAATCCCTTTAGTGTTCAACGGACAACAAAGCGATCGCGACAATAGCGCTGCCTCAATTGGCCTCGCACCGCGGGTTGTCTCTCGTCGTCAACCCTACCACGCTCTGGAATCACGCTTCCCGGTTGCCTATCGGATGGGAGTTGCCTACATCACCAGGGCACTTAGGCTAACGTCCAGCAAACCAACATCCACTGACTGAGTTTCGCAATTCTAAAGCGCAGTAGGAGGACACCAGCCGTCGTTGCAACGACGGCATAGGCCGGGTGAAAGCCAGCAAAGCTCACTAACGTAAGCTTTCAAAAGAACTGTTAGTAGCGAACAAACAAACACGGAGAAACAAATGATAGTGCGCTAGGCGAATAGTTGATCGACTGCACTAGTCAAGAAGAGGGGAACAGGAGTCAGGCCAGCCAAAACCAAGATTTGTAAATATGTAAATAAAACTATAGGTAACTGAATAAATGTAGAATGAAGTTTTCCACTCCCAAAGTAAATCAGTGTTCAGTGTTAGTAAATTCAAATCAGGCTTGAATTCCTGGGTCATAGGGATTGGTTCCTGTGATGATACCCCTGTTCGGATCGGTTTTCGGTATTGGAAGTTTTTCGGACTCGTTAGTTAGGATCTTGGGATTTCGGTGGGTATGCTCACTCTTTTCTTGAGTCACTCGGGTATGTTGGTCTTCTTCCCGACACTGTTAATTATTTTAGAACTGGCTCATTGGGCCAGTATCTAGCCGGGCATCTTGGAACACGACAGCCATCCGTTTAATACTTATCAGGAACAAGCAACATCACCGTAGCTACCTCGAAGCCGCTACAATCTGACCGCCACAGCATGCTATTAAAGCTGATAAAGTCTGGAACGCGCAAAAATTGGTCAACTTCAAATTGGTGTATTTCTGTTAAAAATGCAAGAAACAAAACCTGCAATGCTGCATTTGGAAGTTGAGTGCTATGATGAGTTTTCACCGTTGGCTCTCCATTTTTTAAAATGACGTCCAAGCAAGAGGAGGAACATATCAGCGGATTTCAAGCAGCTTCCGGGACAGGAGTTTTATACCTCATCAGGAAGAGGGAAGGTGGCTGAAATTTTCAAAACCATCAAACTATCGAAGTTTCCGAAAAAATATCTCATCTGGCAGGCCATATGCACGTGTGGTCTAAAAAGCGGCATTTTCATTACTACGGGAACCACCAATCAAGAGATCTACGTCCAGGAGTGCCTGGAAAAGCGGCTGCTAACATTCCTAAAGGAACATAATAGACATGTGCTGTTCTGGCCGGACTTGGCGAGCTGCCACAATGGGAAAAAGGCAATCGAGTGGTACGATGCGAACAACGTGGCTATGGTACCCAAAGACCACAACCCTCCCAACAGACCAGAACTCCGCCCTATCGAACGGTATTGGGCCTTGGTCAAACGGAATCTCAAAAAACTAATAAATCCATGGAAAATCAGCAGCAGTTTAAATCTAACTGGCGTTCGGCGGCAAATAAGGTCGATGAGACCACTGTGCAAAATTTAATGGAAGGGGTTAAGCGGAAAGCACGGCAATTTAGATTTGGCAAACCAAATGAATAAACGAACATTTTTTCCTTTAAATATATGAATTGTACTACCAAAAGAAAAATAAGAAGATTTTTGTGATATGAATTTTGACTGAAAGAAACGTTTTTTTTTGTCGACCAATTTTTGCGCGTTCCAGTCTTTAATCTGACGCCAAATGTCAATGTTTCTTGGGAATATTATGAGTTTGGTATGCGACTAGGACACTGCGTTCTCAACTTATGTTGTCCCATTTTCCTGGGTGCACCCAACATTTCAAGGCATACTTGCAAGATTATGTTGCATTTTTCATCAAAGATTGTAACCTTGCGAAAAAAAAAATACAAGATAATGCCAAGGAAGTCATGTGCTTAATGCAAAAAACTGATTGCAATAATTGAAATATTTGGTGTGCTTTTTCGGCGTGTTGCATTTTTCGCAACATTTTCTACTTTTGGATGTAAAAACCACAGACAAACAGACATAACACATTGATTATTTCTCACTGTAAAACATCGTCGCTAAAACATTACCGCCATCTGTTGAGTACACTGTGGTGGGCATTACGCTGAACAGATGGCGGTAGTGTTTAAACGTCAAACGCAAGGGAATTGACTATGCGTGCCACAAGTGGCGGTACTACCAACTACGATACTTTTAAATTGTCCGTTAAATGCTTGTTCGATGAACAACTTGCGAGTGTTATGTCTGTTTGTCTGTGTAAAAACTATTATCTTAAAAAGGACTGGTAATCCGTGATTCAAAAGTTCAAATGTTCCGTGTTTGTAGGATCTTAAGGTCAGTCCAAAATACTCTTTAGTGAGCGCTAACAGCATTTCTTTTTGGGAAATAGAGTTAGTCAAAATTGTTTCGAATTCAAAGATCATCAAGAAAAAACATACTATAGGGGAAATGGCTCTAATGTAGGCCTATGGATCTAAGATTGGGCCCATCGCTAAAAATCTGCTATTTATCAGTTTTATCTAGATAAACGCGTCATTGGGACGGTTCTAATGGATATTTTTGGTCGCTATTGCAAATTTAGTCGAATTAGGGGCATTTAAGCCGAAATTACATTCATTTCCCCTATATGGAACACTGTATATAAAAAAAAATACTCACTTAATATATACCTACCAAATAATCATAATTAAAATAAGATTATAAATAGGTTAAACACGCCTATAGTGGAGGTACGTTAGTGCAATGTGTTCTTATAGCGGCTTATGAAGTCTTCATAAGACGCTATAGGAACACATTATACTAACGTACCTCTACTTTTGGTATGTTTACCCTACATAAGCTCTATAGAATAGCCATCTTCGATTGCTAACAGATTCCTAAACGAGTGTGAATTCCTTCAAGCAAGTACTGCTGACCGTAGACTCGGAACTGGCAGCAATAGAACAAAACTGGCGAGAGACAGAAATAATAGGAAAAACGTTCTTTTCTGAGTGCGAATCTGATTGAATGCGTAGTTAATAGGCTTTCTAAGCTTCTTGTACGAGCGATTTACATGCACTAAAATCAGTGTTCTTTGAAGCACATTTATTGAAATCTTTCCATGCCAACCAATGCATGCATTTGTATATTCTGCTCCATTATTCCATCATGATGGATTTTCTAGACTGCACCCACCGCCAACAGCTAGGTGACACTATGCCTTTACTGACTAGGCCATCTGAGTCTCATGGTATATGGTCCCATGGTGCACCGAGCTCAAAAATTTAGAATGCAATGTTTAATCAAAATTCAACTTCAACATTCTGAAATCATAATTTAATTATGTTGCTATGATTAAATCCCAATTCTCACGAAAGTATCAATAGATCCTTATAATTACTTAACTTCTCGATTACTGTACGTTATGCAAGTCTTCCTATCATCGTGCAAGTGCATGATTAGTTTGTAGTAAATGTTTTACTCTAGCAGAAGGTACTCGGGTGAGCTTGGTGCTATGACAGCCTTTTGCAGGTTTAAAAATAGACTAAGAACACCGACATGTCTTCCTGGAAGAATCCAGTTTTCTAACATGATCATTATTTTTCTTTTCACCGGTTAACGAAAGCCGTAAAACACGCACAACACCAAATGTCAACAACATGTAAGTCGCTTACGCTAATGAGTAGTATTTCGGAAACGAGGTGCACAACTCAGATCATAACGACAGCAAATATTTGAACTGGAAGCAAACCAACAAGCTAGCCCGGTTAAAAAAAGTACCGCAACGATCTTGCTTAAAACATACGTCGTTCGTCCGTCCCACCCTCATTCAACTAACTCACAACTCAATCGTGAGACGACGCATTCTCGTAAATTAGACGACCGGTTCAGTTGGTCCAATTGGCGTTGAATAGTTTTACTTACGTGACAAGCAGGTGTGCTTTCGAAACTGCAGAAATCCAGCCTCGCAGTGACAGTGACCCTCCTCGCAAATACTGTTAGCCACACGCATGGCACACTGATCCGACAGGATGCATTCGCTTTCGAGCAGCTGGGCTATTGTGGGTGAGAAAGAAATGCATGACTGCCGTCAATTAAAACTGTTTACCGATGGGAGCGTAAAATCCTCTTTATTGGTTTCAAGTGCCTCTAAATAGGACTAATGGACTTCTAATGACTTACATGGTAAACACTTGGTATCGTTTAGTCGCACGTAGAACGGAGAACACTCGCAAAAACCTTCCAGGGTGCAGTAGCTGCCGCGCATGCTGTCCGAACAGTCCATATCATGCTGACAAGGGGCACCCAGCTGAGCACTGCTAGCGGCGTGACTGCCTGCTATCATCACCTGGAAAGAAGAGTTGGAGAGAATTAGAGAAAATCTTTTAGTAGGTGTTGCATGGATGGAACACTTCTTCATAAGAACGGCATTTGAATCAATTAAACCTATCGAACTAGAAGATCGATTGTAACAGAAATTAAACAATTTAAATCATTAAAAATAATTTCTCTATTTTTTTGAAAATTCTTATGAATAAAAATTCAGTCTGGTTAATTTTCCCTAGTTTTAAAATTCATAATTCATGAACCAAGCATCGTTAAAGATTGATATGACAATTATCTCAGCAACCCATAAAAAAAAATTAGACGAAAATTGCACCGTGACAAGCAAAATCAGGGAAAACCAATATCTGTCTGTGTAATGAAAATTGTCTAATGGTTTTTTCACGCTTCAATGTTTCCTATCTTTCACTGGGGAAAATTTCAGAGTGGTGTCTCTTACCGGTTTCGAGACATGTCCGAAAACCAATGAAAGATAGGAAATGTTCAAGCTATGCCTACGTTGTTTATCCCAAAAGTTACTAAATCTTTACTAACATTTAGAGAGCTGGAGGGAGTAGTGATCAGTGCTGTCATGGTAAATTTGGAACTGGTACCTCACTGATTTTTTTCATATTGAAGGAGGCTCCATAATTGTATGTTTGTTCCCAAAATGTGGTTCCCTCTAATTAAAACTAGAGTACGTATTCTTGTCTGCTATCAACTAGCCATAAAATTTAAATAGGGGAAATGGATGTTATGTCGGCCTAAATGTCCCTAATTTAGCCCCTACACATAAATTCAGCAATCGAATTAATTTTCAATAACGACCAAAAATATTCATTAGTACCGTCCCAATGACGCGTTCATCTAGATAAAATTGATCAATAGCAGATTTTTAGCGATGGGCCCAATAGATCGATAGGCCAACATGAGAGCCATTTTCCCTATATTAAATATTTTTAATATGGGCTTTCCAGTCCTTCGGCTTGGCGTTATGTACCGTCTTTCGATCAACTGACAAATCTTAACGATTTTAAAATTAAACAAGCCATGATGACGATCTCATCCCTGGACCGGAACGTTGACGACGATAAAACTGTTATCAACACTTTTTCTTGAAGTCAGACAAACAGAAACACAATGACTCATTCTTAAGATATTTGAGCTTCCCTAAATGTCAAAACTTTTCTGAAGTTTTAGGTGCTTCCTTAAAGTAATTGGAATTGCCAATAAGATGTCTGAACTTAAATAATGTTCAAAGAACTTCTTAAAAGCTCCCGCAATTTTACTGAAAATGTATAATTGAACAGCCTTGAAGTTCTTTGATCTATCTGGAAGCTCCCGAATTTTTCCTGATGTTTTCGAAACTTAAAAATTTCGTAACTTCCTTGAAGTTCCTTAAATTTTCAAAAATAATCTTGAATTTTCTTTTATGATCCCTAATTTGTCATGTCTTTCTCGGAACTTCTCTTGCGTTCCAAAGTTTATTTTTTTGTCTGATATTCATGAAATTTCCTTTAAGACCCTGAAAATTTTCAGAAATTTTTGGAACATTCATGAAATTCTCAAAATATTCCACAGTCATTCGGAATTTCTTGAAAGTTCCTGCAAACTTCTCATCTTCTTCGAAATACTCGGAACATTCCTGAAAATAACGAAACTGCTTAAAAATCTTTGAACTTTGCTAAAGATCCCGGAGCTTTGCTAAAGTTTTCGAAAATTGATTTTTTGTAAAGTTGCTACAATTTCCTTAAAATTCAGTGAACTGCCCGGATATTATCTTGCGATTCTCCTGAAGCTATTTGCTCTGCCTTGCAATAGGTGTAACTGTCCTAAACATCTTTAAACTTCCCTGAACGTCTCTGGACTTCTGTGAAGTTCCCAAAATAGTTTTCTAAAATGTTCAGCACTGTGCTTGCCTGAAAATCCTGCAACTTCTTCAAGTTTCTCAAAATGTTGCAGACATTCATGGTGCTGGTATGTTTTTTCTTTAAATTATTTCACATCACAATTTAACACATTTTATAGCGGTGCCGGTGGTGTAGTGGTAAGCGTGATTGCCTCTCACCCCAAAAGGCCTGGGTTCAATCCCAGTGGCGCTACTGGAATTTTTCTGAGGCCTAAAATCTCTGATCTCTGAGGAAAGTAAAGCTGTTGGTCCCCAGTTCATGAGCTAATGGGCGATCAGCAGGGTTCAGGTGTGGGAGCTGCCTTCCTGGCGTCGGTAGCATTGGTGCTTAGCACGAAAAACAAGATCGACGGAAAATAAATCAAGGAAAAAAATGGGAAAAAAGGTACATTTTATGTCATTTGAAACATGTCCGGGGTGAAATTTGAACTTGTGACCTTTAGCGTGAGATGCATGGATATTAACCACTGCCTGAATCCTCAATCCTGAATTTGTCGAAACTAACCTCCACAGATCTTTAAGCTCACCCGAAAGTCTGGACGTACCTGAATTTATTGTTTTTGCCCATAAAATCTCTGAGCTTCCTTGATAATCTCTAGACCTATCTTCCCTGAGGATCTTGGAACTTATTTAAAATTGCCACAAGCTCTCTGGAGAAGTTTTCTTGAATATCCTTGAAGTTCTCTGGATACCCCTGCATTTCCAAAAACTTCTTAAAAGTTCCTGCTTTTTCCGTGAAGCTTATGGAACTACCATTAAATTCTCGAAGCTTCCCTGAAGTGCCCGAAATTTTACAAAAGTTTTCTTACTATCCCTTGAAACCAAGAGGTAATTCACTCAGCACATTGTGCCGAAATTAGATTCTTCATAGCTTGGGCACATCCATCAGCACTTCTTCGGCACAATCTCTTAGACATTCGATTGTTGTAAATAAAATGGGAGCACTGCTGGACAACTGCCATTGAAGTTGTTCACAACATTACGTGCTGTTTGACTGACTGATAAACTCAGACCAGAAGTTCAATTATAGATCTAAATACGAAATGTAGTTTCTAGAGTGGGCTCAAGAGAAAGAGGCAGTTAATTAGACCCCTTTAATACCTTTAATTCAAATAATGCTGCAACTCACACAAAACAAATTACAAAAGTCTATTCATCATCATCTAAAGTCAGTCTCTAACAATGTTCCTCACCGGTTCCAACTCTTTCCAGTCGCTGAACACAAAACACCAAAATTTCGCACACCCGCCACTTCCCGCGTCATCTTCAATCCGATTTATCCTGGCGATTTCAAACCAAAACAAATTTAAATTTTACATTTGAAGCAATTTCTAGAGCTTCTTGAAGGATCGATTTTTTTCCTGAATTTAATGAAACTGACCTAAAGTATTCGAAATTTGCCTGTAGTTCTCCCGATGTTTCTGATAATAATGGAACTCCCCTAAATTCTCATAACTCTTCGAAGTTACGTAACTTCCCATATGATTTGAGTTGTTACATTCAACAAGGCAGGAGTAACCGTCAACAATGCTGATGATTGTACAGCACGCAACAACCACCCTACTGCTTTCTCTCTGAGAAGTTGGTCATGACGTGAGGAGCAACACAATAGTTGGGTAAAGACGAATTGCATTATAACACACCATCGCGACTGGAAATGCTTTCGGCAACGTGGGGCTTTAGGCAGTGATGAAAATTCGTTAGAACTATTCCACAGCCGCAGACAGTATATGAGCGAATCAGACGCGCACTTTTTTGCCTGTAGATTCGAAGACGTACCACAAATCTCCTCGTACATCGTACGACTTAGGCAAAGAAGTGTGCGTTTGACTTGTACTGTCGCATTAATGGCCCTTCGCTCATTTTCAACTTCTATTCAATTTTCATACTGCCGTAGTCTAACGGAACTATCTACCTACCCACTTATAAGACCATTCTCTAGCTAATAAACATAAAGTAACATAAAAACACTTTGAATGAATAAATGTTGAGTTTTGAGTTGAGAGTTGTTGAAGTTTTGGGAGTGCGCTTTTGTGCCCTACCGGAACCGGTGCCAAGTAGCCTAAATCTCCAAATTTGTAGAAACCTTGGCCACAGTTTGCTATTCTAGGAACATTCAGCTTTCATTTGAGGCCAATAAATTTAAAATCAGTTCAAAATTGACTTTTAGGGCCAGTTGTAGCCTGGGTCTTTTTTGACCCGCTAATGAACAATGTGTTAGGTTTTTATTTTCTAATTCATTAGGAAGGTTAAGGGCGCGGATTAAAACAACACAGTTTGTTTTTTCGTCAGTTCGGAAATTTTTTGCCGCGATTTGCACAGCCATTTACTGAGATCTCAGCAAACATGACGTTTGTTTGCTGAGATTCAGCAAAGAATTCTGTGAGGCTCAGCAATCAATCGTAACTCTTGTTGAGATCTCAGTAAAACAGATTGCCAAGCACTCGGCTGTGCAAATATCGGCAAAACAAATAATTGTCATTATTGAGTTAGGTACACGTGCAACGCAATTTTGCTACTATGTGCGCTCAGTTATATATGGGCGTCCAAATATTCTAATAATCATTTTGATGTTCAGATTTGATTAGAGAATATTTGAAATTGAGAATTGATAAAAAAAAGGCAAATTTGTTTTCGTATTAACCATTAGCAACCAGCATGACAGTTCTGGTTGTGATTAAAGCACATGGGTTGAAAATAATGCAACATTGTGGAACACTTATGTTAATGGTCCATGAAAGGACATTTCTATATGGACACCAGCATCAAGACAAATGGTTTGATAAATCATGATTACTCGATAGCTTATATTGCAACGAATAATGGCACCAACAGACGACTCGATGAGATTGCACCCATTTTTGAACACCATCTGTATAAAACATTGTACCAATTCCTTGCTAACGGGACAGTCACCTTTACCACGCCTTATTTTTTGCATCTACACACGTGAACCCTGCATCCAGCAAGTAGCATCTCCTGGGACACCCAGTCCCAGGGAAGAGTATACTTCTGCCGTATGAGCCATTCAATCGCTTAATCGGCCCCCGTTTACGATCCACACGCGAGCACAAATTAGGCCGACAGGCTAGCATTCCGTTCCAGATTTATGCTCG